ATCTAAATCATAACGATGAAGAAGACTATATTGTGTTACAAGTAAAAGTCCAAGATTTCACACGTGTGCAATTCACAGCGGATGCTGCTCTTCTTGATTTCTCGATGGATACAAACTTGACAACTCTAAAAATGGTGCTTGGTTGTTTGGACAAGGGCGATGGTAAAGAGGAGTGTATTGTTCTGAAGTCAGTCAGTGGAGTGCAACTGCTACGTTGGTGGCATCCGTCTTATCCTCATCGTGATTGAAGTGACACTGATCTTATAAAAACTTTGGACTACCCAGATTGACAATTTTACCAAGATCAATAAACAAATTTGGCTAACGTTGTTTACATCGTTGCTACTGTTGCTACACAATTCACAACTTTAGATAACTAACATGCCTAGTTTCCACTGTTCTAGTTTACAGAAGCGTAGAATAGAACAAAAGTAACTAAGAAAAAAACACCAAGACTATTAAAATAAACCCGAAAAAACCAAAACTATTGCAATAACGTATTATTAGAATATGAATGCCCTTGCACAAAATATTGATAAGATGCATATATTATAAATATTGATTTAATTAAGAAATTAAAATATCTTTGTAAAGCGCACGATTTTCTGCTCTTGGAAATTTAAAGCTGCTTCTTAAATTCTAAACGAGAATAACTTTAGGATTTATTACATGAATCTCTCAAACATTCTTTTAAACAGTCTCTTAAGCACAAAATGTACTTATATGTCAAGCTAGCTTGTGCGTACAGCAGAGTGCTGAGGCATCCAAATTTTAACAATACGTTATTTCAATAGTTTGGCGTTTTTTTGGACCTCCTGTATAATAATTCTTTTCTCTTGTGGATAATTCTAGGACTTAGTTTCCTTTTTTCTATTGTTAGTTACTATTGTTCTAGTTTGCAGAATTAAGGTATGTGAGTTGTGTAAAGTCATGCATGTGAATTGAATATAAACAAACGTTAGCCAAAATTGTCAACATCATACCTACATTGAAGATCTTGTCATTGTATATCAAGCAAGTTTGCCGTGATCTTGCCAAGATCTTGCAATGTTCTTATCAGGATCATGATAAGATCTACAATCCTGATCGAAAATATTGGCACACTTTGCATAACCAGTGCTGAATTTGACACCCACCGCAATAGGAAAAATATCTATACCCCCTACACACTCCACAGTCCACACCCCACACCCACACCCCATACAATGTTGTGTGTACATTGTAGATTGACAAGGATCTACACAACATTGTACGGGTGTGTGAACGTGAAATTGTGAATACAACCCACCGGGCACACGACGTTGTTTCAACGTTGAAATTTGGTAGAAAAAAGGTTGCGACGTCAACAACCTAATATCTACGTTGCTCTGACGTTGTTTTACAAACATTGGTTCAACAGCAGCCAACAGACGTTGAATTAACGTTCATTCATGGTTAAATGTACGACGTCGATTTGTGAACCAATCTCAACGTTGTTTTAACGTGGATTCAACGTTGAATTATGGTTGACGAGATTGGCAACCTAATTTCAACGTTGTTTCAACGTCGAAACAGTAACGTCGATCCAATTTGCATAGTCAACCCTTTTTTAACGTCTATCCAACGTCTGGAAGGTCATTTCCAACGTTGATTCAACGTTGGATAAACGTCATTTTGCCCGCTGGGAATGGGCATATATGTACATGTAAACAAGACATCTGCTGCAAGAAGTTGCTGTTTTTAAAAAAATGTACCAAGGATTTTTTACCAGCTAGGATTGAGGTTTGCCACAAAATCATTATACAATATTAGTAAGATTTAGAATTTAACTTTACCCATCCAGCTTAAAGATAAATTATATTGAGCTTAGTATCATTATAGGATCTTCTTGGCCCTTCATGGAAAAATGTTCAGAATTTTTTTTTTTTAATTCTCCTTCTTTAATGTCCTAAGATCTTGGACAGAGGACAGGAAGAGTTTTAATAAGATCGTGCCAAATCATACGAAAATTATTTCTTCGCGCCATCTTAGTAGGATCTTCTAAGATTATGTGTAAGATGTTCCTGCCAACCTGTGAAATGCTATCTATTGAAGACATTTAGATCCTCAAAAGATGGAAATTTGAAATTCCATGATCAAACCACTAGAATAATATTTAAATGTCCACCTATAGGCTGCTCATTTTTAAGGAAACCACAAGATTAAGACTATACGAGACATATTTATTTATATGTAAAATTCAAACAAATAAATTATTCTGCGCATTTTAAACGCAATACCAAAATAAATACCTTTTGGATCATAATAATTATATTCACTGGTAACAGGAGGGCATAAATCAGTAATATTAGGGACCGGTCATTAATAATGGGAGGGGGCGGGCGGTGGGTGATAATTAAATACCAAATATTGCGGACATTTTTTAGAGCCGCTCCAATCGCAAGACCTTTATTTTCAAGACGCCCCACCTTCATCTAGAAAATTTACGACCCCCCTCCCTTCCTTTAATAAAATATGTATCAAAAGCTCTTACATGCCAATATTTTACTTCCTAAGAACATTTCGGATATGTTTAAATCATCCAACTCTGTAAGATATGAATTAAGAAGCAATAATAATAAGCTGATGTTGTCGAAGCCAAAAACAAATTCAATGAAACGTACTTTCGGTTATGCTGCTGCTAAATTCCAATGAAAAAAATAAAAACTCTTGAATTATCGTTTATCTTATTTGGGTGAGGTTTGAGTGCGAATATTTTACTGTTTAATTCTGGGGAGGGTGGATGGGAGTTTCTCATACTGTTTGTAACTACACGGCCTAATGAAAAGCAATCAGTGAATGATTATATATATTATCATCATCATTAATATAAAAAGTTTGTTCGTTCACTGCAACCAGGTATATCAATCATGTTTCGCTCGCTACTCTGGTTTAAATAAATGATTACAAAGCCCAGTCGAATTGTAATCAAGACCCAACGTTTCGACATTCCAGTCTAGTGTCTTCATCAGGGGTGATCTAAAACTGCGATCGTGGCTTCTTAAATACCCAAGGGATGACGTCACCTGCCAAGAAGATGCATATATTCCTCTGGCAAATAGGCGCCGTCATCCCTATTCAAAGCATGATGACTCATATTTATATGCCACGCTTCTAGGCAAAGTCTTTGACCATAGCGATTGTTTGTGGTAATTACTTTAGAGTTTTCCCACGCAATCTCGTGTTTGGTGTAACATACATGTTCGGCTAAAGCTGATTTTCCCTTGTCTAAAGTTGAAACAGCCTTTTGATGTTTTTTTAGCCGTGTACCAAACTGGCGTTTAGACTGACCCAAATACTCTTTGTCGCAGTCACCGCATGGTATAGAATATATAGGTAGGTAGGTAAAACTTTATTTAAACACGCTTGCCTCGTCAACATGGTGCTGATTTCCACGAAGGGCGTCACACAAATAATACAAAGAAAATAATCAAGTTAGACAGTTACAATTTTAAAATATTATACACAACTGTATACAAAAGTTAGATTAGCACACATATAGCACAGAATCATCATCTAGCTTGCACATATCTTTTTTTTGAAGCAGCCGAGAGTATCCGCCGATTTAGCTGCAGACGAAAGGTCATTCCATAACATAGCGCCACTGTACTTAAAGCTTCTTCGTAGATATTCTGTTCTAGGTTTTGGAAGAGTTAAATCATTTTCGCTATTTCTGAGATTATAGGTATTTTGTGTCACATTTCTTTTGTGAAGAGATTCTTTTAGACCCGGAGCAGCGTGGTCATTTAGCACTTTGTACATAAACACAGCCTTGGACTTATTTCTTCTATTGTCAAGTGATGTTTATCGCAAACCCACACACACAGACAAATACTTGTCAGAGTCTTCTTATTTTTTTCAACAGGATCTTTTGCATGGCTTTGCGAAAATATGGCCTAAAGTCAAATAGGGTTTTAAGGCAACCTTAATATTACAATTAGGCTACTTAAGATTCTCTTGATTGGTTCTGTGACACCTTGAATGTATGGAACTATTGCAAAACCCTTAACAGATGTATCACCCTCGGAGTTATTTTGGTTCCTACAAACAGGTGGTCTCAGGCAATCATTAAGAAAACGCTTTGGGTAATTGTTTTCCCCCTAAAACATTTAGAACATATTCACGTTCATTAGCTTGAGAATCACTGTTTGACGGCAACGATTCAGCTCTTTGAAGCAAAGTTTTTGCTACGGATCTTTTATGGCTTACTGGGTGATGAGAGTCGTATGACAAGTATTTGTCTATGTGTGTGGGTTTGCGATAAACATCAGTCTCTAACTTCCCTTCCACAGTTCTGTGCACATTCAAATCTAAAAAAGCTAAATGTCCATTTATCTCACGTTCTACCGTGAATTAGATGGACGGCTCAATAGAATTTAAATGTTGCAGCAGAATATCGATCTCATTTGTAGAAACCGCAGAGATGACATCATCGACGAAACGTTTCCGGTGTCCCTATCGTTTTGGAAACGTTTCGTCGATAATGTCATCAAGATTTTGGGCATCTACACTCGATATAACTACTTGTTGAAGGTTTTGTATATGGAAATTTTTAGTGTGAATTTTATATACTTGTTAGCTACCTGTAGCTAGTGCAACTATCGGCCCTCTCCTGCGACCCTGCGATTTCGGTGCAGCGCTCTAACCAACTAAGATACAGACTCTAGTTGTCGAGCTCTAACCACAAGTTCATGTTACACAAATCGGAAAATGCAACCTCGTTCCCAGGGCTTTTCCCTTTTTGTCATTGGGAAGGCGGGAAAAGGCCCTGGCACCGGCCGGTCACATGACTTTCAACACCCAGATATAGTGGGTGTAATAAATTATAATAATAATGATTAGAAAATCCAAGATGGCCGCCAACCTAAGAGTGCCCACAAAATTTAAGTGCTTAGAGCGGCTTAAAAATGCGTTTAGTCTTTGAAATTTTTCCTTCTTTTTGCTACCGACGTACTCGAAATCAGATTCTTCAGCTTTTATTACTTGGGAACTATGTAGTTGCTGTTCTTCCAACTGGGTTTGGTAAATATCGTTCGTTCGCTATAAAACAAAATTAACAGCAAATGTTCTCCAGCTGGACAGGCTTGCCTAAGAGGACACGGAAACTATTTTGAACTGGGGATGTTAAACTTGGTTTTACCCTTCCAAAGAGGAAGGTCGAGTTTATAAGGAATATTTTATACAGTGATTCAAAGAAATGTTTTTGCATATACTGTATATGTTATTGATCTATTGTTGAATGTCACTTATATTATAACGTGCCAATGGTTGGAATATTTATTCATTGATATTTTAAACACAGATGAGTGTTATATGCTCTTTCCTTGTTTACGTTTTCCTTGCAGCCAAATGTTGAAGCTGGCAAGCTGCAAAACTGACATATGAGTGATATGACCCAAATATTGGATATGCATCTTAGTTTGCTTACAGTAAAATGTAAACAAGACCTTAAGAATTCTATACAAGATAAGAAATATTACGTTTAAAATCATGACTGGCAAATTAGCATGTGCGAATTGATGCTTCCTAATAATAGTATGTACTCCAGTCTCCAGTAAAGCTTGCTTCACGCCCCTTACAAAAAAAGTCTATAGGCTTGGCCTATAGGCCAACCTATAGGTTCCTATAGGAAACCTATAGGTTTTTATAGGCAATTGGAACATTTTCTATAGGTGACCTATAGGGATGCCTATAATCCTATGGAGCTCTATAGGGAATTGGCTTCTATAGGGAATTGGAACATTTCCTATAGGCCACCTATAGACTTTTTTCATAAGGGTGCTTCAATTCTTGCTGTTACCATCTGCACATTATC